AAGTGCGGGGGTGGAACCTTTTCCCCTCTCGGATCACAGAATGGTGGTGGCGGGGCTTGTGATCCCAGGTGGGGTGAAGAGGGGGAAGGGTGTGTGGAAGATGAATGTGGGCTTGCTGGTGGATCAGGAGGTGGCGGAGGACTTCACGTGAGCATATACCAGCTGGAGGACGCTGCAGGTGTGCTTCCCCACGAGGGTGGAGTGGTGGGGGCAGATAAAGGGTAGGATAAGAACGTTCTTTCAGCGTTATAGTAGAAGGAAGGGGGTGGGTAGGGAATTGAGACAGTGGAACGCTAGGTTAGAAAGGCTGTATAGACTGCTAGAGCTAGGGTTCCCGGTGGGAGAAAGGATAAACGAGTTGAAAGGGAGGGTACCCTCAGTCCTGGAAAAGAGGACTAGGCAATTAGTGTATACGGCGAGGGTCAGGGCAAGAGGATAGGGAGCAGTGTACAAGATTTTTCTTTAAGGCGGGTAGGGAGGGAGACAATGAAATGAGGGAGCTGGTTAGTCCTACTAGGGGTAGACAGGTGACGACGGAAGGGATGATTAGTGTAGCAGAGGACTTTTATGGGGAGTTGTATGAGAGGAAAGGGATAGATGGGAGACGGAGGGAGGAGCTGCTGGGGGCATTGGGGAAGAGGGTTGAGAACCCGGAGGCGCTAGTCGAGAGGATTCGATGGGAAGAAGTGGAAGGGGCGGTGAAGGGGCTGAACAAGAACAGGACCCCAGGCCCAGACGGGATCTCAGCGGAATTCTACATAAAATTCTGGGAACTCCTGCGGGAGGGTCTGGTCACGTTGATTTATAAAGGGAAGGGGGATCGTAGGGACCTGGGAAGTTGGAGGCCAATAACCCTCCTGAATGCGGACTACAAGATCGTGGCAAGGGTGGTCGCGGGGCGACTGGGGAAGGTGGTGGGGCCGGACCAGACGTGTGCGGTCCCATGGAGGAGGATCGCAGACACTTTGGTGGTTTTGAGGGAGGTGATTGAGGGCGAGAGAGAGAGGGGGTGCCCGTTGGGGATCCTAAGTCTGGACCTGGACAAGGCCTTCGACCGCCTCTCTCATGAATTCATGCTGGCGGTGATGGAGAGGATGGGGGTGTGTGGGCCCCTGGTGGAGTGGGTGAAGCGACTCTATGAGGGGCTCAGGGCCAGGCTCCTGATAAATGGGGAATGCTCCGGGATCATTCCAGTGGGATCCGGGGTGCGGCAGGGATGCCCGATGTCCCCAGTACTATTTGTCATGTGCATGGAGCCTCTGGCGCAGATGATCAGGAATGACCAGAGGATTAGGGGGGTGGTAATACCGGGGAGCAAGGAGCAGGGAAAGGTGACCCTGTACATGGACGATGTGGCCATGCTATGCAGGGACGTAGCATCGGCATGGAGGGCAATGGAGGGGATGGGGAGGTTCTGCGCGGCCTCCGGATTGAAGGTTAGTGTGGGGAAAAGTGAGCTGATGGCGTTTGGAGACTCGAGGCTTTTCGAGGGTTGGCCGGCAGAACTGAGTCTACAAACAGAGGGGATAAAGATACTGGGGGTGTTCTTCTGTGGGGATAGGATGGGGGAAAATAGCTGGGAGAAGGGGGTGAGTAAGGCAAAGGGCTGTCTCGGTAACTGGGCTGGGAGGCGGCTCACGATGGCCGGTAGGATTATGGTGGTAAATACAGAAATATTACCATCCCTAAACTACTTGGCGCAGGTTTTCCCGCCAGGTGGGAGGGAGGCTAAGGCCTTGACCTCGGCGATTTTCAGGTTTATCTGGGGGGGAGGGATGGAGGGCCGTGGTGTGTCTGCAGGTCCGGAATGGGGGGAGGGGTGCCCCAAATGTGGGGTATACCCTGCAATCGACTTTTGTCTGCAATGCGCTGCGGCTGTTCTTCTCTGCTGAGCCGCGGGGCAAGTCAGCGTGTTATATGAGGTATCGACTGAATTGCGGGTTGTGGGGGCTCGGGATGACTGGGATAGGAAGGAGCACTCCTTTGGACTGGCGGGGGCGCTGGGTCAGCGACGTGGTGGGGAGCTACGTCGGGCAGCACAGCCTGAACCGGTGGGGGGGCCGGTGGGCTCCCAGAGAGGTGCGGACTGTGGCGGAGAAGGAGGAGGCCTGTGACGAGGTGGCCGGTGCGAGGAGGGAGATGCACGGGAAGATTTGGAGGAATGTGTTGTCGGCAGCGCTCACGAAGGAGCAGAGGGACCTATCATGGCTGGCTGTCTGGGAAAGGTTGGAGACGCGGGGTTTCTTGTACAGCCGCCAAATGGCGCATACCCCCAAGTGCCTGAGGGGCTGCAACGCGGACAAAACTGCAGCGCATGTGATGGTGACGTGCCCTTTTGCCCACGAGGTCTGGAGGAGGAGTAAGCCGTTGCTGGCCCGTTTCGCGCTGTTGAGGGTGATGGCATGGGACGTCATGTGGGGAGAGCTGCGGGGGGTGGGGAGGGAGGACAGGGACCAGGTGTGGGCTGTAATAGGAGTGACGAAGGAGGCGCTGTGGAAAGCGCGAAAGGAGCTGGAGGGGTCCCTGATGTCCCCGTTGGAGACATGTTATGTTGCGAGGAGATTGTTAGAAAGGGTGGTGGAGGTGGACCGGGTGAAAATGGGGCGCGATGCCGCAAGGGAACGATGGAAGTGGCCGCTACCCAGGGTGGGCTAGGGCGGTTGGGGGGGTGGGGGAGGGCAGGGGTGACTCCGGTCCAGAGGATGGGTCGGTGGCCGAGCGGGGCCTTTATGGCGCGAGCGAGGGTGCGGCCCCTCGGTTTTTGCTTTGTTTTGTTTTTGTTGTCTCCGCTGAGATACTGAATAAAATTTTAAAAACCATAATTACCAGCGAAACGTCGTACCCAAACTGTAAATGTTGTGGATTCACTCTTCAACACACCGGTGGGCTAAAGTAGTGAATTATTTGTCTCTTGTCAACGTGACACTTTTTTGCTGATTGGTCATGTCGGGTCGTGGAGGGTTACGACACATTTATAAATAACACGATCTAACCCAAAAACCTTTATTATGAATAATATTGGTCGCGAAAGCCTACGTGTTAAACTGAGAGGCAACTTAGTTTTTAAACACCCGGGTACTGTATGTCTGGAATCACATCTTTTACAGAAGGAACCAGATCACGGATTTTATGTACTGTGTTGAATCGGACCTGGATCTTGTGTTTATTCAGGGTTTTGGAGATCTTTTTTGTGACCCCCGCAATGTAAGGTAAGGTGATGGTTTTGAATGGCTCCTCAAGCGGATCCTTCTTCATGACTGGAGTGATGACTTTGCGGATTGTGTAGTCGGAGAAACCATTAGCCTTGAGAGCTTGGTGTACGTGCTTGAGTTCACTGGCAATGTGTTCCTGGTCGGAAATGCATTGGGCTCTATGGTATAGAGTCTTGATGAGGGAGTTCTTCTGGGATGGATGGTGGTGGGAATCCGGTTTTAAGGTAGCATCCGCATGGGTAGCTTTTCTGTAGACAGAGTGACTCATTGAACCATCAGGTCTCCTTTTAATTAGGACATCCAAAAAGGGTAGCTTGCCATCTTTTTCGACTTCCATGGTAAATCTGATGGCAGGGTGTATGGAATTGATGTGGTCGAGGAATTGGTCTAGAGCAGGCAGGCCATGTGGGCAGATGACAAAAGTGTCATCCACGTACCTCTTCCATAAGGTCGGGCGTAGAGTGGCAGTCTGGATGACGTCAGTTTCAATTTTTTCCATGAACACGTTGGCTACAACCGGAGATAGGGGGGAGCCCATTGGGGTGCCCTCAGTTTGTTTGTAGAAAGCTCCATTCCAGGTGAAGTATGTGTTGGTTAAGCAGTGTCTCACCAGGGGTGGTACATCAGTATAAAGTCCTTGATGAACCAAGTCTTCAATGATTGTGATGGTGTCAAGTACAGGAACTTTGGTGAATAAGGAAACCACGTCAAAACTGGCAAGCAGGTCGTCTGGGGATAGGGAAATACCCTTGATTGTCGATACCAGGTGAGTAGAGTTTAGTACTGCAGAGGTGGTTTTTCCAGTAAAAGGTCGCAGGATATCAGACAGAAAACGAGCCAGTTTGTAGGTGGGGGAGTTGATAGGGGAGACGATAGGACGAAGGGTGTATCTTCTTTATGTATATTTGGAAGGCCATATAATCTTGGTGGTCTGGCCGCAGAAGGTGGATTTACCACTGGTGATGATGCAGATAATGATGATGAATGCATGGGTAGTCCACTCACATTCGTGCATAATCAGGTGCACGCCCACTCCCCTAGTCACCCCTCCACTAATCTCACTCCTCGAGTCACCCCTCGACTCACCTCACCCCCATTCCCCGAGTCACTCTCACCTCGACTTCTACACTCTATCGCTAGTCGCCCTGAGGAGGCCCAACTCCAGAGCCTCCCCTAGTGCCACGTTCACTCTCAGCATGAACATCGTGTGGTGCCACCCCCTCCTCTGCTGCATCCCTGTAACTCTTCCTCCGCCATTGTGAGAATCAGCTCCACGAAGGGCCCCACGCTGTCCCCGTCCCTCAATGGACTCGTGTCCTTTGTTGATGAAGGCCATTTCATTAAATAATGAGAATTAATTATGCACCCACACAGGTCACCAAAGTAGCCTCAATAGACATGTTAGGGCAAGTTGTGGATCCTTGTGCTGTGGAACACACGAGGGGGTGGTATGTATTTTGTATGCTGAACTTCTTTTGCACGGTACGTAGCCAACCATGCTAATCGGAGGTGCAGGGGAAGGACATCAAACTCAGCACAAAAAGTAGTTCTAAAGAAATTAGTTTTCAATCGAGATGTAAAAGTGCACAGCTCCAGTGGCTTCCTGATATCAGAAGGAAGAGCATTCGAGACGGCCGCAGAAGCTCTTCTGAAAGCGCGATGCAGCGACCGTCTTTGTTCGATGGTTCACCAAAATCCGCTGTGGGGATGTGATGTGGCCAACACCATGCACGCGGCCACCTTTGTCTCTCCCAATTGCTGATGTTTATTATAGACACTGCACCAGGTACTCTTTAGAGGGTGAGTCGACCGAGGGAAGGTCCAGGACTGGGTCACACAGACACACACACACACAGAAATGATGCCCTATGTCAAATCCAGAGGCTTCTAAGAAAATGGAGGTGTAAGACGGACACAGCTATTACATGAATGAAGGTGTAATACAGATATTTGTGTTAAGGTGGTGCTGCTCACCTGAAAACAATAACAAAAATCCCACCACTCATTCATCTGTTTAATCTTTGATTGGAAAACGCTGGGCGAGACCTGCGACATTCGAGTGAGCTCACCTACTCGCTCACAAACACACAACACTCAACCCAGTCAATCAACATGTTACACACCCTAAATATGACCCGCCTTGTCCTGGGGAAGACCTGCAACATGCTACTTAGCTCACCTCTTCACTCACCTACTCACCCACTATTGCTATGTCATCCACACACCCACACACTCGCTTATCTTAACAGACCTCAATAATTGACATTTAACTCCTGAAGATATTGCTACATGCAATAAAACGCGAGTGATTGAGTGATTGATTGAATGTGTAAGTGAGCGTCTGGTTGCGTGAATGAGTGAGCATGTGAATGCGTGTGTGAGTGTGTAAGGTGAACGGTAGTGTATCGGCGAATGTGCTGTGCTACAAATCTGGTGATCCGAGTTCAAATCTCGCTCGCCAGTCTATGGGTCTCTGTGTAAGTCTTTACCTCTCTGTAGGTCTATGGGTCTCTGTGTAAGTCTATACCTCTCTGTAAGTCTATGCGTCTCTGTGAGTCTACGGGTCTGGTAAGTTTACTGGTCTCTGTGTGAGTCCATGGGTCTCAATGTGAGTTCATGGGTATCTGTTATCATCATGTGTGTTTGAATGAGTCGATGGCTCTGTGTGATTGACTCCAAGTCTCTCTGTTCGAGTGAGTTTATGGCTTTCTGTGCGAGTCTATGTCTACGTGACTTTACCGAAATAACCAAAGAGTAATTCCTGCAGTCACGAAAGTGCCAAATCAAGTTTGAGTCTATGTCTCTCTGTGTAAGTGAGTACAACATATCCTTGCTTAACGCGGGGGTTGCGTTGTCGAAAATTGCTGCTTAAAGCTATTTTACGTCAAGCAGAAAACGTTTCTACAAGGAAAAACGGTAAAGGGGGAGACTCCGTTTTAGCACAATATAACTTTTATTATTATTTTTAATTGAGAGTACAGTACACTGTTTTCTATGTTTATTTTAAATGTGTTGTGTATATGTAGAAGATCTATCTTATAATCTTTATTTATACTGGAGGAATCTAAAAAGCCCTTTTTCACAGATTTCCAGTTGGGGTGGTACAGAAAGTTACAAAAACAAACGATGCAAAAACACAATCGAAGTGAAAAGTATAGGAAAGGTAAGCAAATCACAAAAAAATAAACTATTTTTTATCTTACCTAGTAAAGCCCTCTAAGCTATTAGCTTCTATTTCAGAAGCGAATTGGCGACAAATGATAGATGAATGAAGTAGCTTATGACGTGGAAATTTATAGCAGCCAAATAATAATAAAAAATTGTGTTACATTCATCAATATACATACAAAGGACATGAAAGGGAGATATGATGAGTGAAAACTATAAGGGAGTGAGTGAGATGACACTACACACAGATGCTGGAACAAAGGCTGAGGAAGAGGATGACACGCCACGTAACACAGTGCGCACCGGTACAGCAACAGCTCCCAGCAATACAGAACAACGCTGCCAACACCCACACCACTCATAAGAGCAGTCCGTCATGTGCTACTCGAGTTATAGTGGGTGTGGTGTGCGCTAAGCGAAACACATTACATAAAAGACGAGGATGTACTGCATATAGTCCTCTACGTCAGTGAGTCTATGTCTCTCTGTGTGAGTCTGTGCGAGTGACTCTGTGGTTCTCTGTGTGGGTTAATCAATGGTTCTCTGTTTGAGTGAGTCTATGTGTCTCCATGTGAGTCAGTCTATGGCTCTGTGTCAGTGAGACTTTGGCTCTCTGTGTGAGTGCTCTCTCTGAGTGAGTCTATGGCTCTCTGTGGGAGTAAGTGGGTCTCTAAGGCCACCACCATCTTGCTCCCTGCCCAGTGCGTCCACCTGGTTGAGCTGCAGGAGTCTATTGTCCACCGCTCCAGACCGCACAGATATCCAGACGTCCACCTCCAGCACAGACACCGGCAGATTCTTAAACCTGGTGGTGGAAGTAAGGACACGAGAGGGGTAATAGTCAACCACCATTACCACCATCAATACCACCATTACAACCACCAAAATCACCGCTATCGTTAACACCACCATCAATATCACCACCTCCACCACAACGATCACTATCAAAATCACAACCACAATACTCTTTGGTTCTTTCGGTAAAGTCACGTAGGTAGAAAAAAATAATAGATCACGACGTTTCGATCGCAACACAAGCAACCATCATCAGGTGAAAAAATATAGCGAGAAAGCTGCTGAAACACGAAGTTATATTGGCTTGAGATAAGCTCAGCCCAAGGGTAAGTGGGCGGGGCTAGAGGTAGAATTTGCATGTAAATACAACACCACATCGTGGAAAAGGAAAGAGAGACACAGACAACGAGAGACATCCACACACAGAGAGAGGCACACACAAAGAGACACACGAGAGATGCATATAGAGAAAAACACACCGGCAGAGAGAGATACCCACACAGACAGATGCAGAGACAGATAGACACAGAGAGAATAACATAATTGCCCATGAATTACTATGGTATGACAATGCCAATTACCAATGTCAAAGGGAACATCAATGAATGCTAAATGTGGGGTAATATCCCCAGAAGAGCATGTAGACTACGTTAAAAAATAAAATAATCAGGCAATATAATATCACATATGGGTTCATTTTAAAGTTTAATTATGACAAATAATATTGAAATAATTGTGCTCCATAGATTATCTTAATGGTCAAGTTACATAAACATCACGGAATCACTTAAGCTGACCATTTAAAAAGACATTAATTCCAAGATGTTGAGCAAAGGAAATTGTTTGGAAGTTCATCTCACACCAAGTACATGTTACTATGAATCTAAATCTGCATAGTTCTCGATCAGCAAAGTCGCAAACATGTTTTACCACAAGCAAGGAGTTCAGTGTAAAGCTGTTAAGCAAATTAACCACTGCACACAGTTTTAAAGTTCTCTGCCTCAAAGACAGCACTCTACCAAGTGTCACGATGCAGCTGCACACGCCACATGACAATAGGCGGAGTGAGTGAATCTAAGTAGACACTGACCCTGTCAAAGCGGATCCCATGTCTAGAGTATTTGTGGCTGGTGCTACACATTTCTAACGTGATTAGCCATTTCGCTGATCTATCATTTGTGGAAAGGTCGCTTCTGAAAAACAGCCACATAGCTCAGTGGGTCTCACCTGGTAAAATAAAAATAGTTTATGGAGTTCGTTCTGCCTCAACGCGTGTTTTCATAACGCCATTTGGATATGGCACGATGGATGTAATAGGGAACACGTTTTATAACGCGGATGCTAAGTGGATATAACGCGATTGAGTCAACAGAACCACGTCGCGCGAGTAGGAATGTGCGGTTGTTCGGCTGCCTGGGCACAGCGTCACACGAGGCATTGGGATGCTGCTGGATGCTTCCTGATGCTCCCCACGCGCCTCAGTCTTTGTTCAGCCGACACACGCATCTCACGCTGTTATCACGGACTGTGCTTTACCCTGTATTAGTCATTGTAACGAGGGAGTTTACACAACGCGGTGTTATTCAGCAACGCAACTACCGCGTTATAGAACACTGCAGTAAATATTGTCGCGGTGTGGAAGGAGCAATGAACGTCATCTTGTGGCATGGAAAGGCATCGCAGCCCTAGCGAGCAGCCAGAGACAAAGCCTGCACGCACGGCAAAGTTGTGATTGACCCGGGGACTATTAGCAAGTGACACGTATGGACTAATGGTTACTCTAAATGACGATGTTGACGTTGGTTATAACGTGCTACAAATATGCTGAACGCACATCGCATTAGCTCTGACTAATAGCGTATGTTTTTTAAAGTTATAATCGTTTACAATGGTTAATTTGTATATCATGCCAAGTGAGTAATTTGCGTGTGGACCCTGACAGCGGCACTCAATGTCCAACTCTTGCGAATGCTCTCAGGGGATCTTTACCGTGCGCTGCGTTCACTCACTCAGCCCCAATCTCCCTGTCGTGAACTCACCACTCACCCACTCACTCACCTCACCCTTCAACTCACTCACCCTCCTCACCTATTAATTCTCCTCATTAACTCACTCACCCTGCAATCCACTCCCTCACCCCCCCTTTCATCACCCGGCACTCACCGCCTGTCCGTGACCACCTCTCCCGTGCCTACAAACACCACCACCTCTCCCGTGCCTACAACCACAAACACCACCACCACCTCTCCCGTGCCTACAACCACAAACACCACCACCACCTCTCCCGTGCCTACAACCACAAACACCACCACCACCTCTCCCGTGCCTACAACCACAAACACCACCACCACCTCTCCCGTGCCTACAACCACAAACACCACCACCACCTCTCCCGTGCCTACAACCACAAACACCACCACCACCACCACCTCCTGCTGCTGATGCTGTCGCGGTCTCCGCGTGGCGCCGCGGGCCCAGGGGGAGGCCTCGCGGCCCAAGAGCGGCGCCACGGCTCCCCCCCTCCCGCTCCTGGCCCCTCCCCCTCGTCCCTCCTGGCTCCTCCCCCTCGTCCCTCCTGGCCCCTCCCCCTCGTCCCTCCTCCTCCCGCTCGCGACGTGGAGTGAACTCAGCCCCGCCCCCCCCGCCCCCCGCGTCCCCCCCCTCCGCCCCCCCCCACCCTGCGCGGCCCCGCCGCCCATTGCAAGAATGGCGGGAAGCGGACGCGGGGCCTACCGCGCGCCGCCTCTCGCGTGATTGGCTCGATTCGCGTCACGTGGGGAAGGCGGAAGAAGAGTATGGGGGAGGAGCTGCGCGGTTAGGGGCGGGGCCGTGTAGTCACGTGGTTGGCAATGATCGACAATAAGTGGGCAGGGATGGCCGTTCGTCAAAGCGTACGTCACATCCGGTAATGACGTTGGTATAAATAACACGCCCCTTCGTGACGTGTCTCACACTTCCTTCTGTCCCGGGTGCCGTCAACACGAGCTGAGCATGGTGCTGCTGATCGTTGGCGTTCTGGTCTTGGCCATGCTTGGGATGGAGATCTTCATTTATCGTCGTTTTACGCTTTCCATCTCAGACTTTTACCGCGAGACCATGACGCTGCAAACGGAGAGGATGAGCCAGCAGAATGTGGAGCTCTGTCAGAAGAACAAGATGCTCCGTCTGGAGCTACAGCAGCAGCAGGAGGAGTTGATGGAGAACCGAGAGACTCTCCAGAGAGAGAACAGGAGCCTGGTTAAAAAGCTTAAAGAGTGCCAGTTGGAGCTGGAGTCCACGAGAGTGCCTTGCAGGGAGAGCAAGTCTCTCCATGCGGATTTTCTCCGGGACTGCAATGCAGCACAGCGGCAAATGTCGCTGCGCTGTGAAAACACAGATCTCCGGAGGTCGCTGCACGCCCACCTGACGGAGTTGAACTTCCTGGATCCGCAGAGAGGCCAGGAACAGTTTAGGCTACGCGGGAAGCTGGTGCGTCACGAGGACATGTGGCATGGGGAAAAGAGGCTGCATGAAGAGAACCTTCATCTCAGTAGCCAGCTGAAAGAATTGAAATGCGCCGTGTCTCAAATGTACCATGATGCCACCGATGCCCCTTCCACCGCCGCTTCTGCCACCACCGCCACCAGGCCCAAGAAGAGGAAGAGATTTATCCATTGGGTGCGAAAATTGCTGACGCGCAAGTCGGCCATGTAAAAACATTGGGGAAATTATGAAAATGACACCGCCCCAATTAAAACATTACTCAGCAAGACAAACATACCCCATAGAACATCAACATACTATTGGGGAAAGTGCTGTACAATATATATGTATCTATATTTAACTTTCTTTGCATCGTATGTAGTCAACCATACCAATGGAAGGTGCTGTTAGCGAATAGTACAACTTATGGGTTCCATTCCTGAGAACTGTCCGTAAGTCGAATAGTTCATAAGTCTGAATACAATAGTGTACTGTATTGAAATCCACATGCTGTAAGTTTTTTAAGATGTTATCACGGTTCAGCAAAACATGTAAACATTGTCAAAGTCATATGTAAGACAAAATATCGTACATTTGCATGCAACACTGTAATAAATACTGTATTGTGAGCAAAACATAAAGTTACTTAAATGGAAAAAAAAATCTGTTTTTATTGTCACTTACCTTTAGTCCGGATGCTGGCCTGCTTGTCGGGAGGGGGCGTAATGAGTCCCTAAAACTGCACACACGGGGGCGGTGGGAGGGGGGTGAACGTCCATACACACACACACAACAGCGACAATCATTCGCCGTATAGCCTTACCAGAATGTTGGGGCAAGTGCTGTTAGCGAGCAGCGCCTATGCAGCTTAGAATAGCACACGGGCCAGCACCACGCCCAGCTGCCTATCTTTCTCTCTCCATACAAGAGACTCACAGGCGTACATGCGTCCGTGCACACACGCACAACACAACAACCATTGTTCACCCCTAAGTGGCGGTGACATCACCACAGCACTTGTGCCATGCTCGATGTATTTTGAGGCCACGTGAAGTGTTGAAGGCTGGCTGGCAGGAGGTCATGTAATAGACGCAGGTGCCATGGATTGACTTAGGAAGATGATGGACAGATGCAACAGCCGTGCTCCCCACTGTGCCAACTTTCTTTGTTTCAGTTGTTTGGCGCTATGCTCGTTGTTTTGAGCCTCTCTTCTCTGCCCTATGCTGTTGCTGGAGGGCGAATGCCTCCACCTCCCCAGTAGCGCCGTTCATGAACCTCCTCCACAGAAGCCGATCATGACACTGCTGATACCAGTCATCAATACGTCCAATCAGCTCCACATCCTTCTGTACCACATCAGTCCATCTCTTCTCTAGCCCGTACCACGCCCACTTAGCGCCATCTATCCAGCCAAATTGAAGCTGCTTGGGGATGCCGTGGCTGTACAAACGGACTGCATGACACAATCAACGCAGCCTCGCTTACTGGAGGTGCCCACAGATGGGCATTTGTCCAGATATTCTAGGAATCTGTGAGCTCATAAAGTCCAGTCTGGTTAAACCCTGGATAGATCGTGGGCAAGCTAACCTAAATGTTCCTTTCGAGAGAGAAAAGGGAGGGTATGACTTTGGCCGAGAAGACATGAAGATTTGTATGGAGTGGCATGCCAGGTAGCTTCCACACTGTGTTGAGCAGCTGATGAAAATATAATGCTGCTCGAATAATTTGAAATGAGACCTCAGCTCCCAGAACGGAGATGATCATCAGCACACTGCCCACTCCACTCTCTCCTCAGGTGCCCCAAATACATGAGGAATTGAGGAAGGGAGCATTTTTATGATGTAAAATACCCAGGGAGGTGATTTGTTTTCGTGGGGCTGATGGTAACGGCCCATATTTTAGTAGCATGCTTCATGTTTGGCTGTAGTGTCTCCAACTTCTCCTTAGAGTGGGCAGTAATCACCAGGTCATCCGCATTCATAATATTATTTAACAATAGAGATTCATACCATGACCGGCTCGGGCATCGATCAGCCTCCCATTATATCTATACCAGATATAAATTCTACTGGTACATCCATGGAAATAGTCTCAAACTACGTAGTCAAAGAAAATGTTCAGTCGTGTAGGGGCCAGAGGACATCCATGTCGCACATTACTCACACATTCTATCATCCCTTAGCTCCATTACGTCGATTTCCCATGAGACACAGCAGTTGTCTTTATATTGTTTATATATGCTTTATCGAAAGAAGAAAATAGTATATTTGCTTTAATTACTGTAACTCTGTGTTTTATTTAGCTTTGATAATTTGGGTGATCCAGGTCTCTCTTGCAAATGAGACTCATCATGGTCGCTTTAGTTCTCGCCTTGTTCAACTCAATAAACTGGTACTCACTCCATTATGAACCTACCCACTTCCTTAAATCTATGACTCACGTAAATACTCCCTCTCTCTCCTCATGAGTCATATATTTACCTGATCACACAATCACCCGATCATTCACTGTGTCAACCTCACTCACGCACTTTTTCATGCTCTCAAGAATGACCCACCCATTCTATCACTACATTAATCACCATCCCCTTCCCTCATTGACCCACTGGTAAAATTAAAATACTCGACAGCAACAACACGTGAGATTGTACTCAGGCTTACACTCACATGTGTAAAGAAGCTCCTTTGCAGGTTCCATTTGATAGATGATTTATTTCACGATAACGTATTTACAACGCAAGAGTACGACTCACACGAACCTTCCCCCGTACAGTAACCTGTACCTGTTTCAACCCATCTCCACTGCCCCCACTATAAACTTTGCCATCCAAGAGAAGTGAAGTAGAAGACAATAGAGTCTGCTGAGAGAATCTACCGGGGAAAACTGCTGAAAGTTACCAGGGCGTGGCCGTGCGGGTATATAAGGGGGAGCATGGCCCGCAAATGGGGTGATGCCTTGGGGACTGAAGAACAACTGCAGGTGGATGACATCGGGGCCGACTGTTGGAAATCAACATGGTGGAAACCATCAAGAAAGACTGTTCGAGATTAATCTACTCTATTAGAAACCACCGGGACTGCAGATAGTCATAGCCTTGTGCAACGTGTGAGTTGCACTCTCACCTTGTAAATATGTTATCGTCGGGAATAAATCATCTAGAAAATGAAACCTGCGAAGGAGCTTCTTTACACATGTAAGAATGCAGGACATGCTTTATCAGCAGGCCGTTGTTTTTGTCTACAACAGACTTATGCACACGATCTTGAAAATGGCATTTGATTAGGATTGTCACCTGCAACCCATTATGAAATCGTCCAACTATC